GAGGATAAAAAATTTATGTAAGATTTCTCTTTAGTAAGCTAGTATGGTTATTTATTAAGAGAATAATTAAATAATATATTAAATATTAATTGATTAGTAAAATGAATTACTTAATTTTAACTTACTTTAAGGCATATCATTGAGACGCATTCATTCTTCATAAAAAAAAATTTCTCTCCTATTTTTAATATTTTTGAACAACTTTAAGAAAGAAAATTGAGTAATATCAAAAGAAAATATATTTGCAAATTATTATAATTGAAGTTGTATTGTTTTGCAAGAAATTAATAATAAAAATTTAATTCTTATTTTAGGAAAAAGGGAAAAGAATACTCAATCTCAATCCAGAATTTTAGATAATAGAATTTATAATTGTGATAAGAGACATAGTTATTAGCTAATTTACTTTTGTAAGAATAATGAAAATATGTATTATTGGAATGAAAAAGTTCTTAATTATAAAATTATTATTACTATTGAAAAAATATATATATTTGGTGTTCCTATTTGTCTTTTATCTAATACAAATAACTTAAGATATCAAAGCAAAGTTGGAGGGATAATAACACTTTTGTTAAGTGGTTTAAGTTTAGTTTATTTTTTATATGTGAATGTTCTATGGATATACAATTAAATAGCACCTAATATCAGCTCAAAATAAAATACATTGGTTATGCTGAATTTAAATTATAGAAATCTATGATAGAACTAACATTAAAAGATTTTACTGGAGATGTTGATCCTTTCAAAAAGAAAATAATATCATTAAACCATTATTAGTGACATTTAATAACTGTTTAAGAAATAGCAATTCCTTTGCTTTCAAATAATGAAAAACCATACAGGATTGAATTAAGCAATTTTAATCTAGTTTTAAATACATTAGATTCTTTTTGATGAAACAAGAAAATTATAAGAATGGCACGCAATTTTACTTGCAACATGTTCAAGTTAATTTCTCATTGAAAGAAGTAATTGTGCAGATGATTCAATTAATATTGCTAGAACTCAAATTTAGTTTAAAAATATTCATATAAAAATAAAGATATTCAATATTATTAAAAAAATCAAAAAATGCAAATGTTGAAATGAGTTCTCAATCGCCTATTTTACATCAATCCAAACCCTACACTGTATCTGAACCTCTATTTAAAAAAATGCATAAGATACTTTTATCGATTTTGAAGTATATAACTTAAAATTCAAATAATAGAAATTCAATGTTAAAAATAACAAAGAAAATATAGTGCCTTTTTTAAGATAAGTAAGCTCTAGCTTATATCTTTACTTAAGTTAAAGATGTAGAAGAATAAATATATGGTGTTATGTTAGAAATATTTCGAAAAGAAAAAGTTAAAGATTGTATTGAATATCTTTTGGAGAATGAAAATCAAAAACGTATAGAATAAACCATCTTACAACAAGGAGGGAATTGTGAATTAGCTGAGAATAAATAGAAACTATAGGTTGCTAGAAATGAAATGAGAATAATTAGTGATGCCTTAAAAAAAATAAAAGATCATGAATTCAATAAAAAAGACTTTTCCTGTGTAGAAAAATAAGAATCTATCTTAAATCTAATTAAAAGCATAAAGGATAATATATAGATCATAGAATATTTGAAATTTTTAGTTCGCCTAACGTCCATCGATAAGACTATGATCTAATGTGGGTCTAATTCATTATATGTATTAGTTTAGATGAAGGCGGATCTTAGAAATTAAAATTTTGAAAATATTAAGATCTAAAATACTTCTCTAGTAGGAGCAAATTTGATTAGATGTAATTTAAGTGGATCAGAATTTAATAATGTTAGCATAAGTGGGATTAATTTGAATGAAGCATTATTATGGTATTGTAAATGGAAGAACATTAAGCTCCATGAATTGATTAAATTAGATGGTCATCATGATAATGTAAACTCAGTCTGCTTCACTCCTGATGGTACTACAGTAGCCACTTGTAGTG